ATATATATATATATATATATATTATAAAAGGCGACATCGCCTTTTCCTTCTCCCACACGGGGCGACGTCGCCTCGATTATATATATATATATTCCGTTCTGCCGGGTAACGAGCGGTTAGTGTACTGGTCCAGCTGACGGACTGATACATATCGCCCATACCAAACGATATTATTCGAAATTGCATACCTTGATTCAGAGTAAAAGTGAGATAGTTAAAATGACGACAGGCGTCAAGAGCCTTGTGTGATCATCGAATATCGAGATTAAAAGAAAATTTGTATAAAACAATTGTAAGACCAATAATGCTTTATGGATCTGAGTGTTGGACAGTTAAAAAACAACATATACAAAAAGTTTGTGTACTCAAAATGAAAATGTTGAGATGAATGTGTCGAGTTACTATGTAAGATAGGAAAAGTATTTTTATTCGTAAACAACTATATATTACTTCGGTAAAGGATTAATGAGAGAAAATTATTTAAAATGACATAGGTATATGGTCAGGAGACCTCCGGATGCAATAGTTAGAAGAGATGAAATAATTAATAGTAGTGGTACTATGAAATGTAGAGGAAGACATAAAAAGGCTTTAATAGAAACTATAACTAAAGATCAATTTTTAAGTACTCTAAACTAAACTAAACATATAATCTTTTACATATCTCAATGGCAGCAAAGGATCCATGTAGCCGTCCCTAAATAGTTGGGACTAACGACTTTGTTGTTGTTATTGGAATATTAATCCCCTACAAGATGCCTTAAGAAATAAGACTAGCAAAATGTGCTGGAAATACAGCTACACATGCCCCAATTCCACAAGTTAACTCCTATGGCCCTCAAGCTTGCCATGATTGCAAACACGAAAAGGAGTAGCACTGAAGAGGATGCACAAGTTAATTAACACTAGAATCTGTTGGCAGTTGGAAGATGAGGCAGTCACATTTTTTTCCAAAGTGAGATAAATTTTTTAGCCCCATAAACGAGACTAACTGATCATTCAATCTCAAAATTTGACCTAATTACCAATAATAGATCTGTTGCTGCTGAGTTCTCTATTGTTAACCTCCTGGCCTTAGTGATATTTTGCAACTCTAAAACTTACCTTTTTTCTAATTTAAAAAGAAATCATGGGATATTGTCTGGTACAAGAGATATGTAGCAGCCTAAGCAAGAATTGGGTCACAAAATGCTTATACCTATTATCTAGTACCATGACAACTTCAATAAAGCAACAGATAAGCAATGTAAAAATTACCATTTCATGGCACAAGGGCATGGCAACACCTTTCCAACATAGAACACTTCAATGTCTTGCAGATTGGTGCCAGCAAAGCACAAACCAAAAGATTGGCAGAGTCAATGCATTTTTGACACAATTCGGCAAGCCATGTGTCGTTTCCTTTCAATACATTTCAACTTGATTGGACTTTATGCCGATCAGCACAGCAATCCCTGGTGCTACGGTTTGGTCCTATTTTAAGTTAATACCTGATTGGACCTAGTAAGCTGGATTAGTTTTCCATCTGATTGGAAATAGTAACAATATGGACCAAGCCTCCAATTTTAAGCAATCAACTGAATGTTTAGATTATGATTTATGATTGAAGTATTGAGTGGTCCAAAGCATCAAATTTAAACCCTAGCTTTCATAAAAAAATAATTTCCTTCCATTATATTAAACAGCCTACAAGACACTCCCACATATATTCAAACATGAGACCTATTAGCTCAGTAACAATGCACTAACTAGTAGGATGTATCACAGAGACTAAACCCTAATTTCAAGCAATTGGCTTTGTTTCAACTGAATAGCTTCAAGCAATTCTGCATAGTTATAAAGTTTCATTCCGTAGAATGTGGCATATCTCCCAAGAACTTTCAGATTTATGTCGTTTATGCTGCACAAGACAATGAATTCACCAGTGTCTCCTCATATACATACAGTGGTTGGAACATGTGTAAGGGCTATTTCTTCACTATTTCCATGTGTCAAGCCAATGTGGATGCCATAGCTTCACTGCAATAGCTGATACACTAATGTATATCATACACCAAATATACTAATATAGCACAAACTAGTCAGCATATCCATGCTAAGCACATTTCCATGACTAACACACATTAGTAGTTTCTTGTAACAAGCACTTCGCCAAAAACCCAGTCCTCAAGGCAATATACGATGCAAATTTTCAGTTTACCCAGCATGCATTCATATATGAGATAAATACAAAAGTTTATCCGGAAAATATAAGCCATTTATATCCTTATAAAACAATTGTATATTTCTAGAACTTGAACATCTGACTGAAAGGATGATGGCCATCAATTTAAGCAAGTCAGCTTTAAACCCTCTGCTCAAGGCATAACAAAATTTCAGCCTTATACAATTTCACAGAATAGATACATTGCATCTAGCTTAAGAATTATTATTCTAATTAATCACAATCATCTGTCCCTGCAATGGTTGGGTGCAGGACAAACGAAATGACAATTACACCAACAACAGAAGCCCCCAATTAACAAAAGGTCTCTTTGATATCCCTATGATTTATGCTGAATTCCTTTGCTTACATAATGATAACTGATATGATTCTTTGATGACATAATCTGTATACATATTAATTGCTTTAGTTCTTTTGGACGAGTGTTGCGACATTACAATATCTACATACTTCATAAGGCTGGTGAATCTGGTCAAAATTTTACTGACAACTCAATGAATAAAAAGAAATACAATATATAGTCATAAATTGGTACTCCACAAAATGTAGTTCAAAAGAAATGAACAACGTCTACATTCAAATAGTAAATAATCCCTAGCAGATATCACATATACAAGAATTTGTTAAGAACTTCCTCAAATAATTCCCCATTTTATTTATAATGCAAAGAATATTAAAACAAATAAGATGTAATGAAATGATTAACATAAATCAGAGATACAAAGAATTCTAAAGGACACCCATAATATAACACCAAATTTTATGACAAATTCAAAGCATATTAGAGATAATGAAGAACCGGAAGCTTGTTAGGTGGAAATTTTTTAGCATTGAGAAATAAAGAATAAGGGTCCAATGAGAGGGAGAGACCATTGTATGTGTTTTTCCAGAACGACTTTGCCCATATGCAAATATAGAAACATTATATCCATCCAAGGCTGACTGCACAAATGGTTGAACATCACAAAAAAATTCCCCTGAAAGAATAACAAAGCCAAGTTACAACAAGTTAGGTGAAAACAGCATTATCATAACATCTAGCATTCTAAATGGACAACCAAAAGGTTATTCAAAAAACTGTGCTTGATTTAAGGTTATCTGTATTATGTGGTACGTAAAACAACCTAATGAATCCACAAACCATAAGGATCACAGCTGGTTATAAAATTTTTAATATTTAGATGAACTTTTAACGAGATCATGTATGGAATGTAATCATCCTTTTACCTTGTCCAACATGAGGTCCATACACCCTATCAAATTCATAGTCCCTTTTAGGATTGGCAAGTGATTCATCGCCAGTGTTTACTCTGATAGTAAAGTCATCTGGAAGCTCAATTATGGAAGGGCCTTCATCTTCAAAAGGTGGCCTTACACGACAGTATACCTTAACATTTCCTGAAAGTGACATACTATATCTTCAACAGAAAATAATGACAGAAAAGAGTAAGACAGCAAGGTAGGAACTACATCTCTCAAAACAAGGATAAAATATTCACATCCATACTAAGAAAATAAAGTTCAAGATGATTTAGTACCTTTAGCTGTCAACAAATCATTGAACAGTTTTTTCTTCTCATTGATTAAAGGTGTAATTCTAGCCTCACTTTCAAAAGCAGCTTGATCTGAAAAAGAACAGAATTTAAACAATGGGTCAATATATAGCTTGATCCATGAGTTGCCTTGATATCAAGAAGATAGGTATAAGTGGAACAGGAAGCAGCACCATAATATAATTGTTGTAAAAGTGATGTATATCAAAGTTAAATCATCCTGAGAAGAAATAATAGTTTCCACAAAAAAAACTTCAAAATTTATCTTCATATGTCATTCCTATGACGTGCTTGAATGATAGTTTGGTTTCCGCTTTCCCTAAATTTTCCGAAAGGTAATGCATCAGAAAGCTCTCATCCGCAATAATGAACCTTGTACCGATGAAGATTTTCATAGCAGACGTAAAAACACTAACTGAGGATTCAAACAAAGCATTCAAAAGGATAAACAGGTCTAAAACAACCACTTATGAACTTCTAGTCCGACTAGACAAATATATAAAAAAACAACCATTTATATCTAAGCAAAGCAACTAATACTGGTCAAATCTTACAAGGAAGTCATATACTTTGATGAATGATGGAGGAAGATAAGAGGGAAACCCAGTTGAAATTCTCCATCGCATCCTTCTTCGGGTCTTCTATAAACTGTTCTCACTTTCAGATGTATGAGAAGGTTCTTTTTATTATGCAACCAGGTAAAGTTCTGATTATAGGCTAATTGTTCGTTTCCAATTTCATGGTTGTTATTGGCAAGGATTAAAGTTTCCAATCACTGGTTGCATAATCCATTTTTCACCAATTTGATGACTGACCAGTACATGGACAGGGCAATTTTGCATGGCCCAGTGTGAAACTGAGGTCACCACCCCATAGGCATTCCGCGCCTAGCTTACCGGACATTAACCTAACCAATACTGAGCTATACTGGATGGTACCGATACCGCTGTACCTTTTGAGCCATATTTTGTTTTCTTTCTCTTCTTTTGCAGCTCATACACAATGTCACAAAGCCGTTGTAATCACTACCGCTCGGTGCACAGCACTCCTACCTGTCGTCATGTCCTCTGTCTCATCGATCGTATGGTACCATATCACCCTTCCACCTTCTCGCGGTCCAAAGCCTCCTCCCCCTCCTCCTTTTAATGCTTGTAGCAGTCCAGCGGATACTGACTTGTACTAATTTATACTGCTACTTAGTAATTTGTGCCACACCTTTCTGGCTTCCAACCTATCTGTATACTGAACCGATATTTTAATCATTGGTTATTGGCATTCTCAATCGTAGATATGCTCAAATTAGCTGTCGTATATGATGGAAAAGATTAATATAGTACTGGACAACCAAATATGCAGGTAATAATTACAATGTCTCCTTGGAAAGGTGAAGATTTGTAGCAAGGAGTAATGTCATAAGGGAACAACAGAAAGAGAATGTGTCATCAAACTATGTTCATTCTCACTCCAGCCCACATATGGAAGATAAAACAAAACATCAAGCCCTAGTGCTGAGTAAAAATGAATGTTATACAAGATATTACAGCCATTCCTAGTGTGATAGGAACATGTCAAGCATCACAAAAGAAAAATACAGGCAAAAACAAAATCTACATATATATTTAGCACTAAACAAGCATTAGAACAGCAACCTTAGATGGCTCACCTAATTTCCTAGCCCTGTCTGCAAGTACGCCCAGATAGCGAGTAACTCGATCAAGTTTGGCATTAGAATACTCTCTAAGATCAGCGGCTTCCTGCCTCAGTTCCAAGTAATCCTCTCGAGCATGCTATCAAGCCAAGTTGATAAGAACAAGTGATGTACAAAATACGGCATTAGGAGCTATGGAACACATATTATAAAGAAAATATATTCACTGCAGGTGTTCAAAACAAATTCATTATTCAAAGTATAATTGAAAGTGTTAGGCATGCATTAAAGCATATGTACACTCACATTCAACCTAGACTAATAATCCAACCTTTTCAACCTAGACTGACGATATACACATTCAGAAATGTGTTAGGCATTCATTAAGCCAGAATGCTATAACTGACAGATTAATTTAGTTGCTTAACGTATAAGAGATTCCAGAGAAATTCAGAGAAAAGAATTTAACCTTCAGACTTAAGTAACACCAAAATGGAGTACTATTTATGAAGAGGTGCTCTAGCCATCAACATGAGATTCCATCTTCCACAATATTCATCAACAAACACATCCAACACACCAAACTGTATCTCAACTTTCAAAGCCATACCCCACAACACTTTCAATGTTGAAGACAAACAAACAGAGATAATCCACATATCCCAATGTAATCATTATAGAGTTCATACAATGTAAGTCCTTGTTATATGCAGTTACTACATGATCTACCTGCTAAAAATAGATATTTAGACATAAAACTGAAACTAAACATATTCCTCAAGTTGGAAATTTCCCACATATTGGCATGTAGTGAGTTGCGAGCGGGTATTTACTGGTCCAATAACCAAGTCTGACTCGAACAGGATAATTCACCTAATTCAGTCTCGTATGGGTTGTACCAACCATAAACTCACCATACGAGCATACCAGATTGTTAATATCCCCATGCATTTTGATACCGGGCATAAGGTTATGGCCTAGTAACTGTAATCTTTTTTATTTTTCATGGAGCCGATCCCGAATAGTTGAGACCTATGACTTTGTTGTTATATTGCATCTGTATTTTTCTTTTCCTTTTCTTCTTTTGCCTCCCTCGTCCTCAACCCTTCCCTTTCTCAAACATTCTCTCTGCCTCTCACGAGCTCTCTCTCCCTCTCACCCTCTATGCCACTGTCTCCTCCACTTCCCCACCACATTGTCGCTGCCGCCTCCTTTGCCCATCAAATTGCTGTCCTCTTCCCTCCCTAACCATTCGGGTCACCATTTGCTCATCTTCCTTCTACCAATATGTATCCTCTTCCTCCTCCAGCTCCTCTTCTTCTTCATCTACTGACCTGTCCTCTCCTCTTCTCTCCCTCTTTCAGTAGTCTGGGAAGTACTAACTCGCACCAAGTGTTGGTGTGTCAACCTACACCAGAACCCTACCTCTGACCACCATCCGGTGTCAGCACCAGATCAAAACCTAAAACCTTGGTTTGATAATGTGCTATATTTAGTAACTTAGGTAATACCTTTAGAGAACTTCTCTTATTCAATATATACTTTTGTTACTTCTTTTATAATGATTGGTTATAATGTTCAGTTCGTTGCCGATTTGGTACGTGGTAGTGTTTTCACTTTAGGCTAGTAAATGAACACACGCAAATCTTCCTAGAATCAATTAACCCCGAGCTAAAAAAATAAAAAACACACATAAACCAAGATCAAGGTGCCAAGAGGAAGTCTGTTGAGAATTATAAGATAAACCAAGAGCAGATAAATCAAGACCAACCTAAATTTCATGCAGAAGTAGTGGGGGAGAGTGTAAGTATCAAATAGCCTAATTTTTTGGCACACTACCACCAGAATTGTTGAGGCAGAAAGATGCAGAGCTACAACGACCATGTGTCCCCATATTTTCTACGCTTGTAACTACGACTATAATTTTCCAAAATACTTCCCAAAATACACAAATAAAGCAGAATAAGTTCAAAACTGCACGGTTGACTTTGGCTTCTGAGTAGACGCACTCACAAAGTCAGCGGTCAGTCTTCCTCTACCGATTTTGTACGTCTACCCAGAAGCCAAAGAATTGTCATCTTTTATAGGCAAACAAAAGCTACACTCGCCAGCCGACCACAGAAAACAAAAAGGAAGAGCACATAAAGCGACCGGAAAAGTCAAAGGAAGAGGGGGGGCGAGAGACGCAAGGAGCTCGAACCTTGAGCTGGTTCTTCAACTTCTGAAGCCGAACGGCGATGAGCCTCTTGGGTTGGTCCGCCCGGGGCGCCAGAGACGACTGGGAGACGGAGAGCCGCCGTACCGGGGGGCGGTACCCCCGGTCCTCGCCCCCCTCGTCCGGCTTCCTCGGCTCGAACCCCGGCAGGTCCCACGTCCACCGGTTCTTGGGCTCCCCCATTCCCTCCCCTCCTCTTCTCGATCGAAACCCTAGATCACGCCGAAGCCGAAACAAAGAAAGAATGAAAGATGGAGAGGAGGAAATTGAAGTGGGGAGGGGGCTGTTTGGTGGTGGAGAAGAAATGGCAGAGGGGTGTGGATTGAGGGATTTAAGAGAAGGGGAGAGGAGGAGAAGCAGCGGCCATTGATTTGGGCACGTCGTTGCCTTTTTTCCTTGTTGGTTTCGCCAAAGGCCTCGTTGGTTCAAAAACGCCCACGAGGCGAGTTGGGTCGGCTTGGGGCGGGATCAGCCTCTTCTCTCTCTCTCTCTCTCTCTTATAGGCTACGAGTTTGATTTGTAGTATGGGTCTTTAATGAGGATGGATTCGTAACGTCCTGCCTTCCTATTTGATGAAGCAATAAGATCTGAGGAACGCAGAGGGAGAGAGAGGATAGCCAAAAGGTGAAGAGAATACGGACACACAATTTTGCTATCAATAATGTTGACAATCCTTTTCATTCAAATTAACTGTTATCCCTATCCAATCCGACGACAAAATTATGTGCACCAGATTGATTTACTTAGCATGATATTTTATAAGATCATTTAGTCTCAATTAAAATTGAGGAGTACGAGAACCAAGAGCTCATAAGTCCGTCAGATTTTTCTTAGATATGTCCATCGTCCAAAGCGGATAATTCCTCACGAGTATACAAGCCGTATCAATGATTAAGTAAACTCGTTCCCGAGTCATGTACCTTACGAGCCCTTATCAACATCTAACATTAATTTTTAGTTGAAACTTACAATTTTACAAAAAAGATAACAGTATCTAATACTACCTTAATAAGTGCATTAAATCAAACAAATACATGGTGTAATTTCATCAGTGCAACCTCACATGACTAAGAAATCACGAGTCGACAATGTAACTGTTCGGTGAGGCGTGCGTGAAGGCATTAAATAATGAGATATATATATATATATATATATATATATATATATATATATATATATATATTGCTTTTGGTTGTTATGAGATGAGTGTTAAATAATTAGGAACACGTGGAACTAATTTAGAGAATGGATACTAATTGATGATGTTGAATATTAGTTGGGTAGG